GGAATGCCCAATCAGCCCTCAGAAGCTGTTGAACAGGAAGAGCTGGAGAAGCCACAGCACAGGCCAATTAATAAGCAGCACTTCGACTCTCCCTCGGCCCCATTTGCAGCAGCTGCAGCAACCACATTTCATTCAAGGGTTCCCAGGTGCCCTGCAAAGCTTCCTGCTACTTAGGGATCTTCATGTTACACATGCCAAGAGCTCTTCAAGCAAACTGGGGAGAGCAAAACTAAAACAAGCAAAGCAGTTTACAACCAGTAGGCATCCCAACTGGCTACCCTTTGGATCCTAGCTTAGCAAGAGTTAACATCTCCCAGACAGCCCCTCACCACCCCGAGGCTGCCTGCTGCTGCTGTCCCATTCAGCCTTAAGATGCTGAAGGGCACGTGCCACTGACCACTGAGGCTGGGGAGCTCCCAGAGCCAGAGGAGAAGGTGAACCAGTTGGCTAGGTAAACTTCCATTAGCTTGATGCTGACAACAAATCAGCCAAGACTGGCCACATGTAAGGCCTGTTTTATCTGAGAAGATGACTTGTCATCTCCAGGAGGCTATCTGTGCCACCACAGTGCCCGGAAGCCAAGTGTATCTAGTGAGGAGGGTGCAGAGGCAAACAGCAGCTCCTCATTCAGGCAGACAAAACCCTTTCCTTAAGAGCCCTCCAGTCAGCTATGCTTTTAAGCTTTTGAGCTTTTCACAGTTACATTTAGTAATGTCACCATGTTCTGTTGTTCAATCACGGAACAGCAGGACACAAAGCTCAGCCCAGGTGCCCCAACATGGAGGAGAAGGTGTGACAAAGCAGCAAAGCCTGCGGGACATGGAAGATGATAGTGGTGCAAGAGAAAGACCAAGACATCAGGAGGTGTCACCAGGCTGTTTGGAGCCCAAGTGAAACTTTGCAAGGAAAAGGCCAGGAAGGCAGGACAGGAGCACAGAGGCAGCTCTGTGAAGTGGCAGGCTGGAAACAAGGGCAGATGTGATCCTCTGGGACAAAGAAATGAAAAGGGCTCAGTGAGACCTCAGTATGGCACACAGAGGCAGAGTCCCCACCATGAAATGCAAGTGTCTTTGTCAGAGGAGGGCTAGGAGGAGGCAATACCATGAAAGCCTATTCCAGAGGGTTTCCTGCTTGCATGTGACAGAAGTGGGAACTGTCTTGGTTTGAGCCAGGATGAAGCCAATTTTCCTTTTACTGATTTTTTTTTTTTCCTTCAGTAAGCTTTCTTTTAACTAGTCACAGTGTGTTCTAACTAAGGCTGATAAGAGAGGAATGTTTTTCTAACTGCTGGGTACCCAAGGTCGCACCTTCACTCTGCCAGCTCAGACACTATGGGGAGATCTGTGACCTGGAGTCAGGAGGCTGAGTTAGACAGATAGCAAAACTGGCCAGAGATATATTCCAGGTATCTATGTCAGCTCAGAGGAAGGTCAGAGATCAACAACTTCCTTCCTGCATTTCTTCCCTTCTCTTCCATCCATGGCCGGGGTCTGGGGAGGACTCCGTCCATCCATCACCATCGACCCCCAGGCTGGAGCTCTCCTGACCCTCATCACTCTGTGCTTTCTCCAGCAGCAGCTCCGGGATTTTTCGGGACTGTTCACAGCTCAGGACATGCTGGGGAGTTGCTGGGAGTGGGGGGATGCAAGAGGCTTTTGCCCATACCTGAACATATTTGTGTATAATTTTATATATTTTCTTATATCATTAGTGTTTAATTAAAGCTGTGTTGTTTAGTTTTCAATTCAGAGAAGTCTCTCTTATTTTCTCTCTCTCCTTCTCTACCTGGGTGGGAGGGGGAGGGGATCAAGAGCGTTGTTGTCGGACCTGAGTCAAACGGTGACAGGAACAAAACTGTTTCCTCCTCTCTGTGCCCTCCCAGGCCACCACAATGGCTCTCGTAGTCATTTCTAAGACACTGCCCATACATGAGACTGGGCTACAGCAGGGCCACAGTACAACACGCCTCTAAAAGACACCACTAAATAGTCACAACTATGAAGTGATGCCCAAAAAGTAACATTTAACAGCAGTAACCCATTAGTATGAACAAAACCAGGGAAGGTAAAATTTGCACAAGCACTCAGCTTCCTCCATGACATAAGTGAAAGCAGAAATGTGATTTTCCTTTTTCTTGATCCTTTTCAGTAGGAGCTCAAAGAGAAACATATCCGAGATTACTTTTAAGCACTGTGCAACAGGAAAAAAATCCTCAGCATCACAGGAGAAGTATAAAAATCACAAATTACTTCATTGAGTTGCAGTGCTGATAATAGTGAAACTCAGCTAAGAGCGAAGGGGTACAATGACAAACTGCCTTCATTATTAGAGCTCCCCTGTGTCCTGTATTATTATTAAGCACTGACAACGTGCCCTGTATGGTTTGAATAAGAAACAAACTCTGTCCCACCCCAGAGAGCTCACAATCAAACGGAGACATAAAACTGGAGCCTACTGTGCAGACACAGAGGAAAAAGACACTTGGATCTTTTTAATAATTTTTCTTTCTACCTACAGTAAACAAACATTTCCTTGCAAAATGTGTTTGCTTCCAAGCTACCGCTGAATGGCAAGAACCACCAATTTTAAGTGTCCCCATTTTTAAAAAATGTTGAATGCAGGCACTTTGCTGATTGTGGATAAAAGTATCTGGCAATCCTGCTAGGTTAATGTGCTCTTTAAAAACATCAGACTCTTTTTCCATAACCTTCTCCAATTAGGGATCTCTTCAGATTTCCCCCATTTCTACCCCCCCACAACCTCTGGTGTGATTTCTCTTCAGACTCAGAAACCTTGAAACCCACTTCTCTTCCCCTGCCGAGTTTCTACAGCCCAAATAGCTTCATTATATTGACAGTATGAAAGCCCCTCCAGAACAGCCAATGACTTTTTCCTGCAGTTCCTGCCTGGAGGGCTCTTCAGCTTATTCCTTTTATTTCATATGAGTGAGGAAGGTGGAATTCCACTCACTTCAGTCTTTGGCCTATAAGGTCTACAATACCTACTAATGACTGTGGGGTTTTGTTCCCATTAAAACCCCATTCAAAACAGTGAACAGGAACAGTCTGATGGCAGGCAGCAGGGCTTGGAAAGCCATCAGTTGTACCCAACACGAGACGCAAAAATGAATGCTGAGTTGAGCACTTGTCTTATCTCTTCCATTCAGTGGGAAAGGTAAAAGACCATCAGGGTCTGGCAATTTCATCACCTTCAGCTCTTAATCAGCAAGGAGACATCAATGTAAGTACTTCCTGAGAGGGCTTCTTCCCAAGGGCATGCACTAAGGCTCCAGAAGAGCACACCTTACCTGACGGACTTCCAGGCGGTACTTGAGGATGGGATCCACAGCATCGGGCTCCTTCTGTGTCCACTGCAAGATGTAAGAGTAATTCTTGGATTGCCTCTGGCTCAAGGTGGGGTTGGGAGTGTCATAGTAAAACTCTGGGCTGTAAGCTTTTGCTAGAGGGAGGGAAAAAAAAAAAAAAGAGAGAAGAGGGAGGAAAGTAAGAAGTGAGATCAGGGGGAATATAAATTAAGAGATGTGGTGAGAGCAGAACAGCTTCACTCACCCAGCTCATCCACTTGCCTTTGACATGATGGACACTGTTACTATTGTAGCTGGTGTTGCACTGACATGCCATCATTTTCTGTGAATCACTACTGCTTTCACAGCCTAAACTACTGGGAGGGTTAGCAGCCCTGCAAAGCCAGAGGGGCATGACCGACACCAGAGACAGTGGGAACAACTCCAGTTCTCCAGCTGCAACCAGCTCTAATCTTTTCTTTCTTGCTTTGTACTTTAGATTGAGGTAACAGCTTTAAACTGGCATTTCTCCTGTTTCATCTGCTGCTTTACAGAGTCTCCTGCTAACAAACCCTGAGGAAAGATCATTTGGCCAGTAGGTCATAGGAGAAGTGTTATTTATCACACAGGCACCATAGCATTAAAAAAGAGACCTTGCTCCTTCTGCATCTCCCCTGCCTTGGCAACACAGTGCTCCAGCCTTTTTATAACATGACAGTCAATTCAGCAGCAAAAGGGATGCTGACCTCAGCCTGGGTAAAAACAGCAGGAGTTTTTGCAGGGGTGGAGATGTCTTTTCTAAACCCAGGTCTCCCCTTAAAAAACAGAGAGCAGCAGGAGAAAGGGAAACACAGGAAAAATGATGGACCAGAGAGAAACTGGAGGGTTCAGAGAAGAAGTTATTTCCTATGATTTCCCCAGCCACTGCTGTCCTGAACCACTAAAAAGCAGAATTCAAAGGCTGCTGACATGCAGCCCAGTGGTCAGTGGACTAATGCCTAGGATCCAAAAGCAGCTTGAGGTTTTACCCACGACTGGGTTGAGATTACCTCAATTTCACTCTATGCACTTCAATTTTTTGGCAGGTCCTGCCCTGCGACAGGCAGAAACTGGGTCTGAATCCAAACTCTTATTTCTGGGTTCAGGTCCAGTTTGGACCTGCATAGACCAGAAAGAAACTTGGGCAACAAGGGATGCTGGAGAGCAGAACAGACATAAACACCATCTCCCCACGCAGTCTGCTGCACCTTCCCACTTGAATCACAGGTCATGACATTCTGGATGGTTATAATCAGGCTTGAAAGGATTCAATGTTTATTTTTTATGAACTCAGATGGATAATATTGATGTTTATTTCCAAGTCCTTTTTTTCTTATTATTTTTATTGACTTGAATTTTTGAACAAGCAAGAAGTTCAGAACCACCTCAGAGACTAACTGCTGCTTATTCAACTTGTATTGACTGTGGAAGTCAAGCTTCATAATGGACTCTGAAAAAAAAAGAAATCAGAACTGATGGTAATCATCTTCTTGCATGACGTTAATTCCTTATTAATTGACTCAAAGATGGAAATGGAAGCTAAAAAAAACCCCACCTTCTAATGGAGATGCAGATACTTCAAGATACTTCCTTAACTTCTTTTCTGGAAACTTTGACCATTGCTGGAAAGTTTTGCCTTTTATTTATAGCTGATGGGAAGAGTTGAAGGTTATTCACTCCTTCTTTCAGGGCTTTCCTGTGCTTATAGGAGAGCAGGTGATGACCATTATGGGCTGATCTGATAACTTGCTCAAGGGGAGTGGGTTGAATGTCTTGCTGTCTTTCCAAAACACCTCAGAAAGCTAATCTCCCATCTGCAGAAGAAACTAATTCCATCCCTGTGGGTTTAGGTACTCTGTTCCCTGGACATCTGAACACCCCTCAGTCACAAATGAGTCACTGCCTCCTTGTCAGATAGGAAGGTTTATGGTCCTTCTTTCACAGACGAGAAACAGAAACAAAAAGAGATGATGCCATTCACCCTGCTTACTCAGGAGGGTTGTGGCAGATGGGAATTAAAACTCCAGAAGACCTGATCCCAAGCACAGCAGTCTAGCCGCCAGATTATTCTTTAGGTTTCACTGCAGGCTCAGAAGGTCTAATTGATTTGTAGCTGCCCAGAACACAGACAGAGATGTCTGGAGCTGAAAACCCATCAGATATCAGTGCCTTGGAAACAGAGAAGGGATGCAGGAAAATAAATATTTGTTGCATTTATCTAAGAAATGTGTGCTCTGTAAGGATGAACATTGCTTTCTCCTGAGGGGATTTTATCTCATGGGGCACAGCATGGCACCTTAGGTGGCAATATGTATTTGTTACTAATTCCTGCAAGAAATTCAGATCCTGGGGGGATTCCCAAGCTTGCTAAGGACAAAGTTTGCTATGGTGACTCATAGTGGGATCTGGCTTTCAAACATTTTATTTACTGATTTGACAGTTGCAAGCATATGAAGAAAGGGTAGAGAGGGCTAAAGCTTTCAAGCAAAATCCACTGCCAGATAAATTCCAGATTTCAAGGGGTGAGAGCAAGGTCCTGAAAAGGGGCCCAAAAAGTAGGAGTGGTTTCTGAGAGCATCTCAGAGTTACAGCATACCTGAGCTGTTCCAATCCCTGAGAAAAATCTGCTTCGAAATCAGGCCTCTCTGGATGTTATTTATTCTCGTTTGTTCAGCCCTCACTTGTAAAGTATTACAAATTGGCCCTTGACTGAAAACCCAGTATTTTGGCTGAATTTACTGCTTATTAAGGCAACTTCATAGGAACGCTTGTCCAGAAACTGGTGCCCAAGTCAATTCTGGGGTCATGGGAAAAGCAGATTTAATGATCAGCTGGAGAAGCTAGGTCAGATGTGTGGTTTTAGATGCTATAACTCTGCCATCCCTTTTTGCAGCTGAACAGAAATCTGTGAACAGCAAATTCACCCAGTACTAGTATCCATTCCCAGCTTATGTTTGTCCTAGCAGGCATCATGACACAAAGACAGGCAGGGGACATAAGGAGGGCAAAGGAATATGTAAAACAATTTTTGTTTGGTTTTAAAGGGGAAATTAGGAGGTTTTGGAGGCTGCTGAGATGTAGAACCTTTCACTTGGTCAAATACTTGTCTACGATACAGGTAGTCCAAGCTTGAAAGCTGACAGCAGCCTAGAGTTTAAGTCTTGTCTCTTTCAGGCAAGCAGTCAAACACTGCTAAAATGTACTCCCTGTTGGCTTATGGAAAAATCACCCCTTTTGAACGCAGTGCAAAGCACAAAGGAGGCAGATGAGGTTGCTTGTACTGGCCCCAGTTCATTGGGAGCAAGCTTCCTACCTCCACCACCCCATCCATCCAACAGCTCGCTCCGACGTGCACTCTGTGACTTACCAGACACCTGGAAGAGGCAGGTGGAGACCCCCACGTCGTTGGAAATGCTGCACTCGTAGCTCCCGCTGGTCTCCCGGCTCACACTGTCCACCTTCAGCTCCGAGTAGTCCTGCTGCTCCGCCGGGGGCTGCGCCAGGAGGGTCCCATTGAAGCGCCAGACGGAGGTGGCCACCTTCATGGGGCTGCCCTTCAGCATGGAGCAGCGCAGGGCCACGCTGCGCCCCACGCCCTGCCGGATGTCCTGGAAGGCTGGCTCCACCACAGGGGGGACTGCAGACCAAACAGAGCAAGAGACGGGGACACCATCAGGGAATTGCTGCCTCGTTTAGCATGGTCAACATAGTGGTGCCTCTGAGGAGACAAGCACTTAAGATATCCAAGAGGATACTTATTTTCTAGCAGGAAATGGGCTTCTTCAAAACAAAACCAGCAACAGCCATCTGACATTCCCTTCTGGCTGGGTTGGGGTCACCTTCCACCTGTGTCACAGTTTGACTCAGGTCCGACAACAATGCTCTCGATCCCCCCCTTCCCCCAACCCACGTAGGGAAGGAGAGAGAGAAAAAGAGAGAGACTTGGCTGGATTGAAAACTAAACTACACAGCTTTAATTAAAACACTAATGAATGATACAAGAAAATATATACAATTATATACAAATATATTCAGGTATGGGCAAAAACCTCTCGCCTCCCCCCACCCCAGCAACTCCCACAGCACTTCCCTGAACTGGGAAGAGTCCCGAGGAATCCCGGAGCTGCTGCTGGAACAGAGCAGAGAGTTATGGGGGTCACAAGAGATAAAGCCTGAGGATCGACGGTGATGGATGAACAGAGTCCTCCCTGAATGCCGGCCATGGACGGAAGAGAAGGGGAGAAGAAGAAGGAAGGAAGTTGTCTTCTGTGATCTCTGACCTTCCTCTGAGCTTACGTAGATATATGGAATGGAATATCTTTGGCCAATTTTGCTGTCCATCTAACTCAGCCTCCTACGGGGGGGTCACAGATCTCCCCATAGTGTCTGAGCCGGCAGAGTGCAGGTGCAGCCTTGAAGCCTCAGTAGTTAGAAAAACATTCCACTGTCTTATCAGCCTAGCAGAACACACTGTTGCTAGTTACAAGAGAGCTTACTGAAGGAAAAAAAAAATCAGTAAAAAGAAAAATTGGCTTCATCCTGGCTCAAACCAGGACAACCTGTTTGTTAGGTAGGGTGGCCTTTAGCAAGTGCACATCCCACAGTGAGACACTGCTTGGAAGAACTACCAAGCTCTGCTCTTTCATGTGGGAAACGCAACTCCAGCAGATGAGCACCACAGCTTGGCTTCAGTCCTCAGATCCTAATCAGAATAACCATAGTCCTCATACACAGCATAAACCACACTCCCCGGACAGGCAGGTATGCTCCCAACAAGTTACATTCATGTTCTTTTGGTCAACATCTGACAGGGCTATCAGGGACACCACTTTCAGATGGAGGGATAGGCACTGGCTCTCCCCACGGATGACAGACCTGAAGGGGTGTCAGAGGGCCTCTCCCAAATACGTCAATACAAAACATTAGGAACTGCTCACATGGACTTCGGGTGCTATCTTTTTAATCTCTGGAAACAATTCCCTGACATTGGGAGGTGAGTCACATCTTTCCACGTCAGCTTCTCTGCCACCAGTGTGAGAATGGTGATGTGTGGCCTTCCTTAGCAAAGGGAGGCTACTAAGTCTTGTTCAGTAGCACTTGTAATAATTTACAGGAAGCTCACGATTTGCACAAGGCTGAGGAAGAGCAAGGAGAAAGCCTGGAATGGTATTGCTTGAACTACCCCTTATTTAATGCAATGGCAGGGGACTTCAAGCTCCACAGCCATCTAATAGACATGTCTGACTTGCAATAAGTTCTTAATTAAAACATTGCAGCGTGGGAATAACCAGAAGCTCTCCCACTAAAATGAGAGGCTTCTTAACACAAAACAGCTATTAGCCTGAATGCAGAAGAAGGAGAAGAGATTTATAGCAGCTCCAGCACAATCACAACTTACCTTCTCCAGGTTCAACGTACTTGCTCTTCCACAGGCAGCTTCTATGCACCACAGATCTACAATGCACCTGCCTCCTCCAAAGGTTCATAGAGCTGCTAAGCACAGTCAGGCCCAAATACCTGCAAATACCTGCATACACAGCATCTGCAGTGTCACAGATACAGCTCCACCAGGACCCACAGGTCATACAGCATCCCTGCTGCCCTGAACTCAGCATGCCTGGAGGGCTCCAGCACACCAGCCTCTGTCTCCCCTCCCACAGCCCGATGCCAGCAAGATGCACCTACAGCTCTGTAACACTAGCAACATCTCCCATCTTCACCACAGATAAAGGCAGTGTGTGCACCATCCCGCAGGTCTGCATGCAGTGTCCCCTCTCTGGGGGATACAGACACATCTGTGGGTACAGTGTACAAGCATCCCTCCGCCTGGCAGTCCCTTCTTTGACAGTGGCTGATTGTTTTGTAGGTACCCATTCTCAACTCTCAGCTTCTGGGCCCTTTGCTGCACTGAAGTGGATTAAACGCAGCTCTTGACTGAGCTCACGTTGCCGTGCTGAGTGGCATGGTCAGCTCATTACAGATGGCTTTGCTAGCAATGTGTCTCTGCGGGTGCTGCAAGCACTGACTTGCCTTCAGCTCAGACGTCTCCCACCTCACGGTGAGAATAATGTGAGAAGTTGTTTGATTAGACCTAGTGCCATGAATGTATCATCTCCATCCCCAGCTGCTATCCCATTTCTTGGGTCACATCTGGCTCCTTAATTGAAGCTGGTGGCGTCTCACGTTATAACCAAGGCCAGCTGGTGATGTAAGGAAAAAAAAATATGGAAAAAGGGAAAAGAGAAAGGAAGACTTAAGAAAAAGTGGCACAGCAGCTGCATATGTACTCAAAGCAATCTATCTCATGAGGAGGGGGAAGAAAGGTGGGAGAGCAGCTTTCTTCACTGCACCAAGCTGCATCTGTATACAGAGCTGGGACAGAGGAAGAGATAAGGTCAGAAATTGGACAAAGTGCCTCCTGCAAGGACACTGCAAGGAGAGTACCCCTCTGGCCCTTACTGAGGAAGCATCTGGGTCTCATAAAAGGTCACAGAGGAGCAGGGCTGGGACAACCCAGATGCTTCCTTAGGTAACTGCAACAGCAGGGCAGCCAAGGATGCAGACTATATAGAATCTTATTCACCTGGGAAATGGGATTTACTTTATTTGCCCCAGGACAGGCTCTGGGCCTAAGTTACCACTTTCTAAAGGGAATGTCTGAAAGTATCTAGAAAGCAAAAATGTATTCCATTTTCTCCTCCCTTCTCTGGCACTAGGAAACACCCAATGGGCGTTAACTCTGCAGATAGTCCTGGAGCTCCTGGTTTTTCCAGAGAGAGCACTGAAGTAGGTCATCCCAACACTGCATGGAGTACTACAGCAAGGGGCAGATGCACTGAAGGCTGCCAGTGGATATGAAAGCAAGGAAAGGTCAACAGCAATTACAGAGCCAGGCATCAGCTCTGGCCTCCAATGCCTACTGGGGAGCCCACACTTGCTCAAGTAGGTTATACAGTTATACACAAAAGGGGGACCACCACCAAGGCAGGGATTCATACTGCAAATCCTAGCAGATAACATGGACTTTTCTCATTCCTGGTTTAAAAGCAGAAGAAAGCATGTTTAAATGAGCCAGTGGTCCAGCTCCTCAGAACTAGAAGCTGAACAGCCTTGGTACACTGGAGATGGTGACTGTCTCGGAGCAGTGACCTCCAACATGACTCCTGTGCAGATACCTTTAGGGAGCTGCAGAAAATGATAGGCTCTAATACCCCAGGGAAGCAACATCCCTGCTGGCTGTATGGGAGCTGTTGGGCTCGGTACAGGAGTATCTGCCTATTCTGGCTCACTAAGCTGCCATGGTGCTCTTTGGACATCTTGGGTATCAGCCTCAGTTTTTAACCTAGTTCCAAAGGACAGTACTTGTCCAGAGGCTTCTCAAATGCTTTTCCATGTCTCCTATGAACTCCAGTGCAGGCAGCTGAAGCGCCCTGTTAAGCTGCAGCCTGCAGGCAGCAGGATGCTACACTTCAATAGGGAGGTAAAATGCCTTTCTGCATATACAGGGCTTCAGGATCCCCTGGTAAGAAACACAGCAGACAAATCCAGACGATTACTGTTTTCTCTCGGCACACAGCTTAATTCTTGAAGAGCTAGCTGGCAGGAGCAGTGACAAAAGGGGTGAAGAGGGCAGCACATTACTGTTGTAGGCAATGCTGAAGGAGCAAGGCTCCTCCAGCAATCTTGTTAAGATGCGGCTGCTGTGAAACACAAGGCAGGGCAGCCTGCCTTCACAGCAGAATTATTGTGCAACAGGAGAAAACATAATCATTCACCTGCTTGTTAGGAGCAAATCAAATCAGCCAAACACAGGCAGCCTACTCCAGCGTGCCAGGCACCCTAAAGCAAAGCAGGGCTGTAGGCAGCTCTCCTGCTGTGAGTCAGAGCAGATGCTCTGCACTGAAGGGTTGCTAAGCCAGCACAGCATTCATGATGATAAAGGGCAAGAGGGAGGGAAACACAACAGAGAAGTGTCAAGGGGTGCTGCTTTGGGCTCTGGGACCCAGTAACCCCTGTTTTCTCAGTTTCACTGGAAATAACCACGACTGAAATGCTTGTCCTGCCAAATGAATGAGAAGTGTACTGGCTGTTGAGCTGTGGTCAAGTCCATAAGTATTTGTTAAGTCTGTTTTTATTTTAGCCTTGAGGAAGGGAGGAGTGTTCTTCCTTACACAAACTGAAATGCTTGCAGGAGACACCAGTCTCCTTGCACTGTTATTGTGCTGTCCTGCTTGGGCACAGCTCAAGGAGGGGCACTCGGCAACCCCTGAAATGCTTTCTGATTGCTGCAGGTTTCTATCAAATTCAGATGCCTCCAGAAGGCAAAGATGCTTCTTTCACCAACAATGAAATCAGAGCATCCCAGGACAGCAGTGATGCACTATGGAAAGTTTTTCACTTGTGGATAAATGCAGGGGGAAAAAAGGCCAAAAAAAAAAGCAATTTTTTTTTTTTAAATTAACTTTAAACACTGACGATGTTGTCATCAGGCTTCTCAGTCTGATATGGATGAAGGGAAGAGAAAGTTCATACTGGAGTGGAATGATGCACAGAAACCAGTGCCAAGCTTAAACACAAATCAGCATCTGCAGAACAAGGAAACACTGAGAGAACAGAGCTCAGATTAAGAGCTCAGGC